TCTGAAATTCTTTCAGCTAGAAGCATCTGCCGAAAAACCGATGCCGGTAGCGACAAAAACTTGCGGAGAACTCTGCAAAAAACGCATCTTCGCACGGGCAGTCTGTGCGTTGTCCATTTATTTGTTTCCATTCAGAGCTTTGTTTGTGACACTCATTTAGCATTGCATAAGATAAGGGTTCTTTAAGTTCGGATGGGTTTAAAACGGTTTTTTTCGCAGTGCTAGCACATTTGATTAGTGTGACTCCTTCGGCAGATTCCGTTCACTGACTCCTTGGACCGATTCTATTCACTGAAAGGACACACAAGACATAAATGATGTTGATATTTTCTTTTTTTGTAAACTCATCAATTTCTTCCTTTTTTTTGCAAAAGTACCCTCTTCCCATCAGTCGTGTTGCAAGGAAACAAAACATTTCCATGTTATGGGGAAAAATTAACTTTAATCAGCAAGCCATAGCCAGCGGGCAGTAAGTATCACAAGTAAACAGCATATTTTCAGTGAAATATTGCAGTTTCGGTCTGATATGAAGGATATTATCAAGATATTGTATCCCAGTAAAAAAAAAAGCTGAAATTGTCATGTAGAAAAAATAAGAAACAACAAGTGAAGAATACGGGTCGCTGAGTGTTACTAGTGCAATGTTAAGAGAAACAGAGATAGGTGCTAATGTGATGGGACGATCCGCCCGAACGCCGGAATGAGATTCTGTATATGAAAGAGGGAAAGATAGAGAAGAATGGAGAAGTTGTCAGCTGTATCAATGACAAGAAGAAATTCTGCGCTGAAACAGCAGTTGAAAAAACTGTTTAATTAGTGTATTCCGCTTGTATTTATTGTAATAATCACAGAAATCCTTTTTCGTAAAACAGCAACATTTTTCGTACATTTAAGCTATGGAGAATGAGCACACAGAAGGCTAAATAAAGCGTGATGGAGTGTTTGAGCGGATTCAGTTCCTTGTGATCAATAAATTTTTTGCAATTTACCAATCAATTTCAGACAAGTGGAAAATTTACGGCGCATTTCAAGTGCCATTGATAAAGCATGGATGATTGATGAACGAAGCTGGGAACTGTACTTGAAGTTGTATAGATATTTTAATCTCTTCGAACACTTTCACACCTACGAGGAATGGGAAAAGGTTTTTCTTTGTCTGAAATTTGCTTTATCTAAAATTATATAAGCGCTTGTTTATGTATAAATTAAAAAGCTGCTTCCATAATTCACTCTGCATGAAAAGTAGAGGCGCCAGGAAATAGCTTTCTTCGTAACACATCCAAGCAGCAGCCGTCTTTTGATAGTGTTATGGATAGATTTTTAGTTTAAGTGAAAAACTATACGCATTTATAATTAACGTTTGTATATGTGTGTGCGAAAATATGTGCGTGTTTTGATCTTTGATTGGTTACGAGCTCGGCTTAGAACTCCTCGTCTTATCTGCTGCTAGCGCTGGCAGGGATATAAGTTGGGTGACCTTGATTTCGAGTTGCTGTTTTTAATGAAGGGGCATATATGAAGGTTCTTCTAAAAGAGAACTTTACAAAATCTATGGCTAGCAAATTTTGCGGTAAAATTTCACGAACAAGCTCATCTTGTTTTAGTATGATGCTGCAGTGCGGAGTGTTTTCCGAAACGGTGCTGAAGAAAGCAGTGAAGAAACATCGCCAATGCGAAACACTGAAACCGATGAACAGCCACTTAGCAATGAAAGTGTTCTGAAAAACGCTCTGCAAATGGTGTGCGACGTTCACGTTGCCTTTACTATCTTAAGCGACTGCAACGTAGAGGAGGTAATGTTTTTATGGTTGTAAATTTTCAACGGAAAGCGAGGTACTGTGGGGATCCAGCTGGGCAAGGCTTAACAGATTCTAGAACGACACGCAGGAGCAGCAAGCACATTTTGTTGGAATTATTGTTGTTGAGCCATCGGTCCAGGTGAATATGGCCTAGAAATTTCCGAATTATTTGTGACTAGGTTCTGAGCTTGGCTACAAAAAACTGCGTATTCGTTCTGTCAGCCTCGATTTTCCTCACCGTTTTTCCGCTCTGGATCTGAAAATCGACCTCTCCCTCAGTCATTAGGCTAAAACTTTACTTTTTTCCTGGCAGCAATTTTTTGATTGGTAGCAGAAGTTAGCTTGGTTCTAGCCATGTATATAAGGCAGCGTGGATTAGCGATAACCGTTTTTATGCGTTTTTTGCAGCTAGGCAATGCAAAAACACATATTGTCGAGGGGTTGTCTATGTGTGTGTGTGTGCATGTTTGTGTGTGTGTGTGTCTGCGTGTTTTTACCAATTTTTCATCTCAACATCTACAAAGACTACAGGGCTGTAACTTTGGGGGCTTAATCTGCATGCATGTACGGGCCCCCATCCTCAAAATGGGTGATTTTACCCACGTGGTACTAGCGCAAGGGCCCGTCAAAGTTTTTGTCGGGTAAGCTGCTACCTCGGGAACCTGAAAAGCTAGAAGACTGTAATTTTAAAGGGACGTTTCCTAGCAGTCCTGACGGCCATTCTCATTTCGTTTAGATAGTAGCATCTGCCGGAAAAACCAGTGCCGTTAGCGACAAAAACCTGTGGAGAACGGTGCAAAAAACGCATCTTCGCACCGACAGTCGGCGCGTTGGCCACTTATTTCTCTTTTTGACTAGATTCAGGCTGATTTCTCCTATAAAAATTTAGGTATCACTGAGACCTGGTTACTTTTTCGTTGTTCTTGCCGTTGCATGTGTGAAGTGCGCATAAGCACTGTGATAAAAATGAAGGGGAAGAGGGGAACTGTGCGGTTACTCAAATAATATTCATGAAACGGTTGCTTTCCGCCTTGCACTTTTTCCGTTTTTGTTGTTTACCATTATTTCATTTGCAGAATTCTTTTGAACTTTGCAGATTCTATTGAAAATGTCCTCTCCGCATCGTTATGCAGAGCTGTATTATCTGACTTATTTGAAGAGCGGCGGCGATTGTGCCTGGTTATCGACCGCCTATTTCGCGCAGTTTCTTGCTTCCAGTTTTGTGGTTGATGGGTTTGTGCACACATGCAAAGTGAGTTCTTTGTGCGGACGCACACACACATCTAAACACTTGAAATGTTTTTTTGTACCTCGACAAGGTAGAGGAATAAACTGAAAGTACGTCCAGTTAAGTAAAGCTTTAAAAATCAGATCGAATTCAAGCCGTTTCTTTGAATTCTCAAAGTTAAAAGGTGTATTTGGGAAAGAACTATTTCAGAACATTGACCTGATGTGCATTTCCCTTGGGA